TGTTACACAACACCTTTTAGAAAAAATACATAAATTAAAAATTTTATACGACCCCTTTACAATGAATGTTTATATTAGTAAATTTCCTATTATCCCATTAAAATTGTTCAGATGGAGAAAAATAAAACAAAGGTCTGTAATAGGCCAAAATGGTTCTGAAATTCCTCGAAAGTATGGCAAGAATCGCCTACCCCATTTAAATTAGTAAAAACAAGAACTTCCGATTTAGAGCTCGCGTAAAGTTAAATTTTTAGCTGAAAATATAACATCGAGATTTAAAATTCCTACAAATGGTAACTGGATGTTTTACATTAATATTTTTTAAAGGCAAATGCTTCTTATTAGAAATTTTCACCCGAAGATTTAAATTCCAAATTCGACTTTTAATGCTATTTGTGTACCGTCCCCTAAACTTTTAAGCAGTAATTTTCCCCTAGAATTTAAGAAACGACATCTCAGACAATTTTCATTATACGTGGATGATTTTTATTGATTTATTCAGCTTGGCCTGAACATGGCTAAGTATACAAGGGCTGTCTGCCTAAGAGCACGAATGTTTTAAAGAGAACCTTTCTGAGAGAAACTGGCTCATATTCACACTACACATGAGTAAGGCCATAAAAATCAACCATGCAGCCAGCCCGTTCGCCTGGGTTCGAACTCGCGTTGAACTACCAGTATTCAATGGGTCTAATCCCTTGGCCACTGGTCAGATATTGACTAATTCAGGTATAGGAAATATATTTCTTGTTCATATTTTTTTCTTACGAAAGCATTCCATAATCAGATTTGCAGTTTTGAATATTTTGGCTAAATAGCTAAAATTGTTGTACTATGAAAAATTGCTTTTTTAATTCATTTTTTAAAACTTGAATCGAAAATTTGCCACCAACGTTTCGAATGCTATTTAATTTTGCATGTTATATAGCTACAATGAAGTATCCCTTTTTACTTTAAGAGATTCCCTCTTTGACATTTAAACATTAACTTGCATGAAGACATCCTTCCCCTTAGGTGCAGAGCTCTTACGCGCTTTAAAATATTAAATTAATTAATCAGCAAAATACTTTACTTTACCAACATCAACCTGCGGAAATTTGCTCAAGAGCTAGTGTGGTGATTACAGTGGCTAATGCCGCCAAACTTTGATCTTCTGTTTCCGGTTATATCCTAGGCAGTTAAACGGGCTGTGGCTGAATGAGTTTTTCTAATGTATATAATGCCATACGAACAAATTTTCTTTAACAAGTTGTCTACGAAATCATCACTTCCAACTGGCAGAAACCAAAGTATTTTTTCGTAATCAAAATAATACATTTAAGCATGGTTATTAATATGGCTTGATAAATTCTGAAAATGGTGAAATTGTTTTATTCCATCTGATTTATCCACAAATTTAACTTTATCTGAAAAGCAGTTACAGTCCCAGTCAATTGAAAAAGGTTTTTTTCTAGTTTAGCTGTTATATCCGTGAGAAAATACAGATCGGATAACCAATTATTATCGTCCAATTATATATAACTTTCATTTCCGGTTTTCAAAAACTGCTTTATTGGAGAAAGAAATTCTACAAATCGTTGAAATACTTTTCTCCTGCTGAGCCATCTGACATCGGAATGAAGCAATAAGATTCCATGTTCGCTATCATCAGTCAGCAATCAATTATTTTATAGTCTTGTAATATATCTCTTATGATTATAAATGCTTACCATAATTTAACAATTAGAAATATCAATGAATGGTTATTTTTAAAATATTTTTGTTCATATTACCTAATCGAGCTGGCGAGCGCATACAAAACTATCGGCGAGCACAAGGTGTGCCACTGATAGTCTAGCGCATTGGAGATAAAAATGTTTTATTCCTTACAGTGTTGCCACTGCTCGCTTTGAAATCGCTGAGTGTGCTAATCAAAAATTCATTAAAGGTTTACAAAAAATGAAATAGATAATAAAACAAATTTCAAGTTCGGGCTTCCAATGGCTGATGTTTGGGTGAAGGACTACGTTATTTTAAATTGGAGGGCTCTAGGTACCGTTGTTTTTTCACGATGCGAGAAACATACATACATTCACGCACATTCTTCATTCTGTAATTTCTTTTAATGTAATACAGGGCGATAATACTGGGTGGCAACAATTTGAAAAATGTTACAACTCTTTCGAGACTAAAGCCTATCTGGGCTAATGCCGCCCTTTTGGGATATAAAATTAATTTTTTTAATAAATTATTGACCAAAACACGTATAAACAATAATAATAAAATCGAAAAGGAAAAAATTCAAACTTATATTTATTTTCTCTCTGAAACTTAAAGTTTTGTACCTGTAAGATACTTTTATCGGAAACACTTTGCAATTCAAGTATATTGACAGCAAATTATTAAATAATATTAATTCTAACGTGTATAATCATCACTAAATAACTTATTTTAATTTGAACTTAAAAAATTATGAAACAATTTTTCAGAGAAATTTTACTAAGTGGACGGTGGGACAAAACTCGGGAATAAATAATAACAATCTAGTCCCTTTCTGTTATTTATTAGATTTTTCTTCGAAGTATAAATAAAAATACGTGTGTTTATATGTAAATAATTTTTTGATCCTTACTATAGATTTGACATTAAACCGCGTGTTAACGCTGATAAAGTTTGTATGTAGCTTTGCAAAGGAATTATTAGATATTATCTTCTTCACGGATTGCAGATGCTCAAAGGTGGACTTTTCTTATTCATTTTCGACTACGAAGAAACGCTGTTCACATATGAATGGATTCTCGAACAAATCTTAATGCAAAAAGTCGTAACGGAGCTTATTTATTTTTTCACAAATATCAATAAAAGTTAATAAAATCTGCATCTTCAAATCTTTTATTGGGATTTATATTACATGGTGAATTAATTAGCTCGATTTGTAAATTTGCTGGTGCGTTATTCATCCTCCTTTTTAACGGCAATGAAAATGGTATAAACTCGGACATCGGTTTACTAAAAATCTTTAAAATTTTACAGCATCATATTTGCAACAAATTTATCATTGAAATGTCTTCGCGGACTGTATAATATTGCCTCTGCGGGCAGCCAGTTTGAGACCATTGCTCTTGAGAAGCCATGCAGACGATTATCAATACATTGTAAAGAACTCGGGAAATGTACTTGTTTCTCGGGGAAATGTAATATAAACATTTCTCAATATATTTACTTTCGTGGAGCTCTCGAAGTTATGTTAGAAGAAATCCTTGCATAAAATGTCGCAATATTTTTACTTCTGCGAATCCTTGAAATAAAACCCATATCTCACTGAAACGCTACAGACATTTCTCAATGTTTTTAGTCTTCCGGGGTCCATAAAACGGTGTTAATGTTTTTTTAAAATCTCTATCCACGAGGGTAAAAGTATTGTAAAGCAAAATGTTTTCCAACAATTTTATCCTAGTAAAAACCTTGAAATGATATCCATATTCTATCAGGAAGCTACTTAAATTTCATAGTATTTGGTGCAGCGGTCGTCAACCCTTAGAACTTCACGTACCCACTGCATATATAATTTTATATTTGGCGGACCACTAATATGAATTTTAAAAAAGGTAGATACACTCATACAATCATCAGCGAACTACACATATTTTGTTCACATTTGAAAAATTACAGAAAAAATAGAAAAATCTTATTTTTTGTGCAAAACACTTCACATTTCCATATTACTGAAAAGAAACTTAACGAAAGGCAAGAACAAACCGGCAAACGGAAAGAAATATCGAGAAACTGACAATGTTATGCCGCCAATTTTTAACTATTGTAAACATAATAATCATCGCTTACTCAGCAATGGCGCCATCGATCAATAGTTAGACAAAATAAAAACGGAAACTTCCAGCGATGCAATTATAAACAAGAATGCAGAAAAAAGAAAGAAAGGTTCTCATAAAAATTCATCAAGACACGGAGAAAAACTGTGTTATTAACGACGACAATAGCATATGTTTGTAATTCAAAAGGAAAAAGAATTCCAGTTCACGCTATTATTGATAGTAGCAGCATATTCATGGATGCCAACTCTTGCTTTCAAATGTCGCTAAATACACCTGTAAAAGTAGCTAAAAAGTCGCTAAATTCAGAAGGAATCTCGCTAAAAGTAGTAACTAAAATTTTAAAAAAAAGTATAATCCATATTTCATAATAGATTTTGTTACTCGTCATTTTTTAAACTGAATCTTCATATAAATATAAATAATGTCCCAATTTTTCTTCGGACCATCAAAACGTTTATCACAGACCACCAGTGGTCCGTGGACCACCAGTTGGCGACCGCTGATTTGGAGCCTTCCTGAACCCTAGATTAAAACTGCACATTTTAAGAACCCTTACATAATGTTCTCAATATTTTTACCATTGAAACGTTACTAACATCTTAGAGAACCTCTAACAGATATTTTTTAACATTTTTACTTTTTTTGAGCCCTTAAAATGCTAAGCTTGCACCGACACCACTGGCTAAGACTACTACTCAACGTCATACAGGTTATGATTTCCTTCTCACTTTAACCTGGGCCGCTTGACATTAAATTTACACAAACCTCTGGACTGAGCGACTGCGTAATGAAAAAAGATATAAAGGAAAGAATCACATTCAAATCTAACTGGTATTTTACTGTATTTAGATTCATGTTGTATGTGTGGTAAAAATCCTCAGTTAGTTCTCATAATTACGTAACACTCAGTCTTAAATGAACTTATTTTCAGAATAATGACGTCATACCTCATATGCCTTACAAATAGATTATTACCGTTGTTATTTCAAAAGTATTAATATTTACGTCTTTTTTTTTTTTTTTTTTCAGATTTGGGAGAAGTGGAATCGATGACTTTAGACGTGCAAATCCTACATGTGGGTTCTGTGCATCCGAAACACGTGAAACCTGTACCAGATATGCCTAATTTTGTTGGCCACCTGCAACACCTCATCTTTAATAGAAAGCATTACTTGGATATGGCACACAGCGGACAGATTGCGAATTTTGAAGTAGAATATCGATTCTTATTCGAAATGTTTTGTGGAAAAATATTATATGTTTTAGTTCTCTGTTCAATCTCTATTAGCCATCTATTATTAAATAATGTATATAATCTGTATGTGTGTATGCATGCATGCATATATAGATATGTATGTTTGTTTCTCCCATGCTGGAAAAAAAGACCTACAGCCATCAAATTTGAAACACTTCATTCGAATATCAGTACCTCGAAGTACAAATTTTAAATTTCGAGTTTGGATTTTAGTTATTTTATATTTTGTACGAATTTAAAAAACTGTTAACCAGCGAATTCAGCTATTTAAAAGCAATATGTTGCCAGCCCTGGAAATCGGATGCTTTTATCTTCCACGCATTAGTGTGCAACCATTCAGCAAAGTCTCAAATATTTCATTTTGAAATTCAATCTATATGTTATTAATTAAGAAACTAAGAGATTTAAAAGCAATAAACGCATAATAATAGTTTTTAACGTTTTAATCCGATTGATTTAAGTAAAAATTTATTGAATTTTCTTGCTTAGCTAGAAAAAATTCGTAATGGAATCTTGTGATTAGGCCATCTGGTCTATCTTCTATGTATATCGCTATAAGCTCCTTTCTTGATTTGTTTCGTGGTTCTGTCAGAAAGATGGTGTTCGCCGAAAACAATGCGGCAAAAACATCGCCGACGAAAACATTGCAGAGAAAACAACGGGGCAAAAACATCGCGGACGAAAACATTGCAGAGACAACAACGCAAGGCAAAAACGTCGTGGTACAAAACATCGTGGGAGAAAGGAAAGCAAAGAGAAAATTTCGAGGTTCTAAAACATCGTGGTACAAAATATCATCGTCGAAAATAAAGCAGTTCAAAAACTTCGCAGTTTAAAAACATCGTCTTCGAAAATATCGTGGTAAAAAATAAAGTACCTCCAAATCATCGCCGCACACATAAGTTTTTTCTGAAAAGAAGGAAACTTTAGCATTTGGAAATTGAAAATAAGTGGAAAATTAATGCAACTTATACCACTTAACATAATTTTAAATATACATAGTTAATTAACAAAGGTCAATAATATATTAATCTTTTTTATAAAGTTTACTCATATTTTCATGAAAAACACAGCCTAAAAATGTTTAGGAAAAGGAAGGCAAATAACGGCATGAGGTTACCTCTATAAAATTGCTTAGTTAATTATTAAATTAATTTCTTTCAAATTTGTTAATCTGATATTATTTTGGTTAAAATTATATCTTGTTTTGTTTCTGTTTATTATTAAAGTGTCATTAACATTTAAATTCGACGACGATATTTTGTACTATGATGTTTTTAAACTGCGATATTTTCTTTTTGCTTTCTTTTCTCCGACGATGTTTTGTACCATGATGTTTTCGCCTTGTATTGTTTTCTTCGCGACATTTTCCTCCGCGATGTTTTCGGCTGTAACCAGAAAGATTTGCCAAGCTTCGGTAAATATGCAGCAAGAAAAAAGGAATTTGATTGCAGAAATATTAATATATGATGACGAGTACAGAATAAATAATGAATGTGTCCGCTATCATCCTATTCTTCAATGAAAACAAAAGCAAAATAAACTGAAATAAATATATGAGCTGATATTAATACTGTCGACATATACTGAAAAATACGTAAAAGTAACATAAATAGAGAAGGTCTCAAGGAAAGCAATAAGTAGATCCCTTTTTCGTATGTTATTGTTATGAATTTTGGAGTTATGAACATTGGAGTCCGGTCCCTGTATTACCGTAATCAGTATTTGTAACTGTATAAAATGTAGTATATGATCACTATATTAGCTGCAATTGTAATTCACTTTCGTATTGCTTTCCAGTAATTTCGAAAAGCAAAAAGTGCTAGAAATATCTCGGCGACCTGTTGAAAATTATTTAACGCCAAAGAGACATCTACTCTCATTTGCTTAGTTAAGTTAATTAGTTGTTGTTTAGTATTTTTTGTTACCAAACGATTTACTAGTGTGTCTTTGTAACAATAGATGGCGTTGCTGCCTGATGATTTAATTCTGGTTGCTATGGTAACGAACTTTCAACTCATAATTTATGTGATTTGTATTCTATTTTTTTTTTTTTTTTTTTATTAATTGCTACTGTGCTTGGAGTGATGTCAGCTGTGTCGTCACGTGGACGGCATTCCTTCTATTTCAAAGTGTTATGTAAAATAAATTAGTGATATATTAAAGTCCGCTTACCTTTTTTTGTGAATTTATTCATAACATTCCTGGTCCTAGCGACCGGAGAGAAGAGTTAGCGAGCTTTGGATTTGATGTGATTTATTCAAATATTAGCAAATTAAATCACTTTCGATTTGTGAATTAATAATCAACTTAGTGTTCTTTCGAGTCGATTTGGTGGATATGCGTGTGTCATCTGTGTGAAATCAGTTTTCGTTTGTGGAATATTCCCGTGGTATGGGTGTAGCGTAGAAACCTCAACATTGGGGTGAGTACGTTCCAATATTTCATCTCTTTTGCTAGAGTTGTTAGTATAATATTTATTGTTATCATAATGGCTGATTTGAAACCAGTTTTAACTAAAAAAGAAGGTTCTAAAAAGCAATATAACAACGTTTAAAGGCAAGGTAAATTCGAATTTAGAACAAGCAGAAATTTTAGAGGTAAAGTTGTTCGAAACGAAACTAAATGCTCTTAACAGTGAGCTTCGTTCTATTTATGAGAAAATATTTTTGTTGTGTCCTGAAAAAGATTGTGATACTTTCATTACGGAACAACAAACAATACAAGAAACTTTAGATGAATTATGGATAACTATAAATAAAAAGTTACAGAAACTTTCCAGTGACTCTGTTATCGAAACAAATAGTGTAGCAAAAGTAAATTCGTCTGACGTTCGATTACCAAAATTAGAACTTTCTACCTTTACAGGGGAAAATATAGATGAGTGGATTAGTTTCTATGGTCTTTTTAAGGCTAGTGTAGATAACAATCCGAATATTTCTAAATGTCAGAAGTTTCAATATTTAAAGGCTTCTTGTAAAAAAAGGCTCTGTCTATTATTGAGTCAATTCCTATTTCTGATGCTAATTATGATATAGCGTTGCAACTTTACAGGAACGTTATTCTAATAAAAGAGAATTAACTAATGCATTAATCCGTAAAATGTTTAATTTGCCAAATGTTTCTGATTCAGCTCAAGCTATTTTACATTGTGTTGATATAGGGAATGAATGTGTACGCTCTTTGAAAACCTTTAAGCTAGAAGTTTTCTGATCTTTCTGATGTTCTTTTTGTTTATCTGATACTGAGAAATTAGATAAAAACATAAAATTTTGGTGGGAATGAACTTTGAAAAAAGATAATTAGGTACTTTAGATAATTTACTCGAGTTTCTAAAAGACCACGCTAGAACCCTTCAGAATAGTAGAACCAATCTAAAGATTTTAGGAAATTTTCTAATTCCAAATTAACTTCTTTAGTGTCGAGTAAAAACAGTTGTATAATGTGCAAGGAAGATCATTCTCTTCACAAATGTGGTAAGTTTTTAAACTTAAGTGTCCAAAAAAGAATCGAATTTGTTAAGAAACACAAACTTTGTTTTAATTGTTTATCTTCTCAGCCTCATTTAGTGAAAAACTGTCGTAGTTTACATAAATGTATGACGTGTAAGTTACCTCATCATACTGTTCTTCATTTTGATCGAAATATCAAAACTAGTGAAAATGAGAAACCAAAACAAACGTCCTCACTCTCCCCCAAAACCGAAGTGTTCGTATCAAAGAATGAAGTCGTTACAAATGCTACAACATGTGCAGGACAATTTAGTTATTCTAAAGGTGAATCAAAATGTGTATTACTGTGTACTGCTTTCATTAAAGTTAGTGATTCCAATGGTAAAGCCATTCCTTGCAGGGCTTTACTAGACTGTGGCAGTGAAGCCAGCTTTATAAGTGAAGAGTGTGTCAGAAAATTAAAGTTAGGTAGATTTAACAAAAAAATTGAAGTATCGTGCCTTGGTTCGTTCAACACTGTAACAAGTGGAGAAGTGGAATTAATCTTTACTAATTAAAGATTAAGAGCATTAAAGATTTATAAAAATGCAGCACGCATTGAGTAAAGCAGTGAATTATGCGAATACAGTACCTCAGAATGTATGACTTGGTTATTTAATCCTCCGACATCTCCTCACTATGGTGGCTTGTGGGAATCTAATGTGAAATCCATGAAATTTCATCTTAAACGAGTATTAGGATCCACACTTCTAACTTACGAAGAATTTTTAACAGTGCTTACCCAAGTGGAAGCGTGTATGAATTCCCGTCCTCTTTGTGCGATGTCTAGTGATCCAAACGACTTTAGTGCATTGACCCCAGGTCATTTTCTGATTGGAGCCCCTTTGCTTGCCATTCCGGAATCTGACTTGAGTGATGTGAAAATCTTCACGACTTAAACGTTGGTCTCTAGTTCAACAGACTGTGCAACATTTTTGGAAACGATGGTGTGCAGAATATTTAACAACACTTCAACAACGTGCTAAGTGGTTTCGTGCGTCTCCAAATCTAAAATGTGGTGATTTAGTTCTGATCAAAAACGAACAACTGCCTCCAAACCAATGGAAAATTGAAAGAATTGCCTTAATTCATCCAGGTAGTGATAAAAATGTTCGAGTGGCTACAATCCATACAGCCGCTGGTGATTTCAAACGAGCTGTTACTAAATTGTGTCTTATCCCCAATCATGACTAATATGAACATGAAATGACTTTTCATTAGGACTTTAATTTGTTATTTCATATTTTTTTTTAATGTTATTAGTTGCTTAATTTGTTTTAACCTAAGGTCAGCGGGCTGTTGTATTTTTTTACAACGATTATGTTGCTTTGTAAAAAGGGTTTCGCCTGATCATCTGTGCTAGGTTGTAAGGTCTTAAGTTTTACTAACGTTTATTTTATTTTAAATCTTTACTATCACTTCTTATTTTCTACTTCCGGCCAGAATTATAAGCGTTAAGGTTTTT